ATGTTGTATAGTATAGTTGACGGAAATCTATACAGTATAGTTTTTCTATACAGTATAATTTTTTATTTATACAGTATAGCTTTATCTATACAGTATAGTCTTTTTACACTATACTATACAACATCGGAGGTATATATCATACTCAATAACTATATTATCCTACCATTGCTCTCGCATTCTGATGAACGGTGAGTGGGAAATATTTAATAACAAGAAAAATCATGATTGTAGTTAGTATTGCGGGAAGGTAAATTGGCGCTAGTTCATGTAAATTACAGATCGATTAGCTAAATCCAACATCTACAACCATAGACCATAGTTGAAGATGGAGGCAGAGGAAGATACTTTGGTCTAATGGTGGCATCAATGAAATAGCTATTCGGACCAACAATATGATTTTCCTCGCAATTGATTGTTCCAGGCAAGTGTTGTAACAGCTTATTACTACTGCATGAGGGCCATTTCATAAGCTACGATTTTCTTATCGACTAAACAGATTTTGACAGGAAGTTTTTGTTCGGTTTCCATGGAAGACTTTGAGATAATCTTCGAGAGAGACATTTTCAGAATGATTTGTGTATCTTGTTCAAGTAAACGAACCCTAGCTGGTTCAAGAAGATCTTGGGTCAACACAAATTTTGATGACATTGAGGATCGGTCATCGGTGTGACGAGAAGTTGGGCTGTTAATGTGGTGTATACAAAAAAAAAAAAAGATTTTTTTCTTAATTCCGGAATTCTGGAACCTGCAAATTAATTTTTTGCCCTAATTTAAACCTACGGAACAAAAAGATGCAGCGTCAACGATAAGAATCATATGATGATAGACCGGTCATGTGAGATCAATGCACAGTAAATTTGCCGAGCTGCGTGACGTCATAAATTCACGGATATTTTTTAAATCACATTCAAGAATTTTGTTTGCGGAAAAGACTTGGGACTTGATGATAACTTAGGGTTGTGGGATGTATGCTAATCACATGATTTGAAAGGGGGGAATAATAAAATGATGAAAAAAGTGCGGAATGAAATTCCCTTTTTTCTTCACAAAAAAAGATAAAAAGACCGGGGGATATCAAGGATATTTTTCTTCCATAGGGGTTAATAGAGCTGTTGACCTATTACTCATTTACCCAGGTACATTTCGGATCATAAAATAACAAATGGTAATACCTTTTTGTAACCTTTTTACGTTGATCTGAGTATTATCCAAGTATTTATTATCCAAGTAATTTATAATCAAAATTATAATTCATACCACTGACAAAAGAGGATTTATGAAGCCAAAATTTTACTAATTTACTAATTTTATTTAATTAGGCTACTGTTAGAATAAATAACACTTTAATAAACATTATTTTTTTTTTTCACTGTATATATAATTATATAAAACTACTTATATATTTGAAAATAAAAATAACTTACACCAAAAAAATTTTCATAATGTAATGTAAGAATAACAACTTGATTATTTATAAAACTACCTTTTTTTTTAACAAGATGTAATTTACTTTTAGTTTCAATATTTTTCTTTAATAAAATTTAAAAAATTTCACTGCTTGGTTTTTTACAGTTTAGGTTCGGTCTTTAACTTAGTCTTATCTTACAAACCAAAAAACTGTTTTTATATAGTTTTAAACTAATTCTGAACCATTTTGAAATTTAGTTAAAGATTTAACTTTATTAAGTTTAATTTAATAAATAATGGAATTCAGATAATGCTGGCTAAGCCATTCATTATTGTATTATTATTTGATTATAGAGAAATTCTCACATTTTATTTTTAAATCATCATGGACCAGCAATTTTATTAATAATACTGGAATAAAAATAACAGATTTACTAGCTTCAATGCTTTGTTATTACATTAAGTTGGTAATGTTGTCATAATTTCCAAATCTATTTCTTATGGACTGCTCGTTGTCGTTAGTATAATAAGTAACTATTTTCCAATAAGGATTTCTATTATCTACGTATAACTACAGTAATAAGAATTGGTATTTGTGGAATTAAATGTAAGATGCGCTTGATATAGGGTTTTTTTCCGTCGCGCTCTCTAATAAACTTATTATTGCCTTTACTATATGCACGTACAATCTTTTCGATTTGTTGTGGATTAACTTCTGTTCTCTCAGTATATGTAAATTTTTTTGCGTGTTCTACCATTCGTATTGTAAGAACGTTCTAAAAACTCTAAAAACATATAAAACTTGAAGATTCCTACCGATTTTAGAAATAATATTTTCATTGTCACATTAAAAATCACATTAAAAGAATAAATTTGGGACCGGTCTGTTCCGGTCCTACTTTTTTTTAAGCCTTTAAAGGTGCAGGCTTATTAGAAAATATGTTATTTATTACTTTTCTGGAATTAGCCTACTGCGAATAATGACGATAAGTGCTGACATACTGTATAATAAATTTTTATCGCCTTAATTTGTGGTATGGTACCAAAATTTGAATTCATCTTTATGTTTAGCATTATATAAAAACTAATAAATTGAATCTCGTTCATTTTTTTTCTTGACAAATTTTGCTCAAAGGGTTTATTTAAGTGAAGAGTTAATATAAAAAGCTTATATAAAATGAAAAGAATAAAAAAAATTCTATGCAAAAATGCACAATACAAAACAAAAATCAAGTCTTTAGCCAGAAATACATTTATTACTCATTTCTGGGAATTAATTACAACCAAGTGTATTAGTATAAAAATTCATAAATAGGAAATTCATTTGTCTGAGTAACACTTCGGTAACAGCATATACAGTATCACGCTAATTTGTCACAGCATTTATTTTTTGTGTACCAGTACCGTGGCAGCCAACGGATTGTGGCGCAACAAAAATCAGATTTTTTCTAATAATAAATTGCCTTTAAAAAGCTACTAGCTAGGTGTAATTTTACTACTCTGCAAGTTTACTTAGAGCGAGAAAGGCGGTTTTAAATATCGTTATCGACTTATTTGACAAAATTTTTTCTTTCGCTAAATCTATGATCAGCTAAGACGGTAAAATCAATCATCTATATGTAAAGTCAAAATCGACATTCAAAACCTTCTTCCGAATCCTAAGTAAACTTACAGGGCATGTGAAATTACACCTACATTATAAGTTTAAAAGCTTTTATGCCAAAGAAAAATCCGGTACACAAAGAAAAAATTTTATTCGTTATTTCTGTAAAAACTCCGTAAAAATGAGCCTTTCCCGGGTCCATTCACGGAAAATGTGAATAATTCGATAAATTCCGTGATATAAGGTTATTAATTCCGGAAATATAAGCCTTTTACGGAAAAAAGAAGGAATATCAAAAACGGATCGACTTTTTTTACAGGGAATGACATCACATGAGTAAACCAAATTGTCTCACATCTATATATATATATTGATCATACAGTATATAATGCAAAACTATAAACAGAGTGGTAGCAGTTATGATGATGTTTATAAATAATTGTTTTCATTTGTGTCCCGTATTTTTTACATTTAGCCCCAAGAAATCTCCCCGCAATTTTTAGAAATAATCCAGTAATTGCAACCTTGTTCTCCTTGAAATAGAAAACGATAACGAAATGCCTGCTCTTCCATTCGATTGGAATATCAAGGGTTTTAATGACACAGCCGTTGCAAATTGTCCTAACGGAGTCGTACACCAAATTCAGGCCGCTATAATTGCGAACCTGGTTGCAAACGGAGCAACAAATCATGGAAATAAAAATATTTTATTTATTTTTTTCGAGACGGTAATGCGATTGGAGGTTGGGGTCGAAATGTTAATACCAATTTAAAATGGTACAAGTTAATTATCTGTGTTTTGGATTCTTTAGCGTTATTTTAATACATTATCCTTTCCTAAAGGGTTAAAACCAACCAGGAGTTGCGAACATCACTAACTCTGTAATTAGAATTAGCAGAGTTACAAAAAGATCGGGTAGGGTCTTACTCTGAATTCCTTAATAACAGCGTGAATGCGTGATATTACAATTTGTTACATAAAAGTTATAATATGTGATTATCACTTTTAAAATAAAAAACCAGCTAAACTATTTTACTGTGGGTTTGATGCTCCGTCTTCATCATTACTACTTGTATTATATTCATCATTAGATTACTAATAATAAAACATTCCCGACGAATTTAATTTGGCCGGTTTGTTTTAAAAGACATGGAAGTGAACAATATAGTATACAGTATTAAAACTGCTGAATAACAGGAACTCATTAAACGATGCGTTCATGAGATTTTGCAATCGTATGGTGAAATGTCATCATATAATTCTGATCTGTATGTATTCAATTTGCGTGTTACTCGTATTATTTGTGGGACCGTGAAAAGCCTTCCGCAATCTCGCTCTACTGCCTTCTTGATCTTGGATTTAAATTGGACAACCCAACCATAAAGTCGGTAATTTACCGGCTATCAGACATAGGTGAAGAAAGAGTTGGAAGTTATTATTGTTAAAGACCTTAAATTATTGCCCTTAATGATAAGATCATTTCTTTTGCTCTTCATGCAGTCATGCTGAAAGAGATGGGACTATAGGGCCAAGTACAGTACATATATTTCTGTTCATGAAACTAATTTATGGGGTAGGTAGAAGCTAAAGACAATCCAAATATTAGAAAAATATACTTTTCGAACACGTGTCTAGCAGGTCCGTTTTTCTTTACATTGAGAAGATACAAATGTTAGTAGCCACATCATTGGGATCATCTAGTTGTAAGAAATTAATTTCCAATGGTTTGGGCCAATATATATCTGGTTGCTCATCCTTTTGTTCCTTTTGTTTAAACAAACTAGCAGAACTTTGCTTGTTGATGGCATAATTTAATGTTCGATTATTCTTTTGATATGGCTACAAAGGAAATTGTATTAACAGCATGAAATAATGAATGCAATTTGCTTTGCCCTCTTATGGGGCATTGGCAACTAGCGCATCTACCATATATTTTATACATGCGAGTGTCGCTTCCTGAATAAGCTCTTGATTTTTCTTAGGTTTGATCGGTGATATTAGGTTTTATTTACTTATTGATATAAACATTTATATCATATGGGAAATATACTATAAAAGTTAATTTGACTGAAATTAATTTAGAAATTGAAAATTATCAATTAAAAATATAAACTGAACAATAAAAATAGAGAAACATAAAATTAGAAAATTTACTAAAAATATTTATCTTGAATCATTTGTGTAAAATAAAAAATTTCGTAAGATAAAAATACAACTGCAATTGGAAAAAAAAATCGAGGGTTTTCTTTAAAAATCAAAAACAAAGCAAAAGCAATTATACCCAGTCCAACAATTTCATTCAATTGAGGAGTAGTTTGTACTGATATAGGGATAGGTTGATCAAAAAATAATGAAATATGATCATTTTCAAAATCTATAGTTAAATTTGCATGTGCAATCTTCAAGTATTCTGTACCAAGAATATTAATATCATTGAAATAATGCGAATCGGACGGAGGTAAATGTATTATAGTAAATATATTGTTTAATAATATACTATGAACAGTTGAGTCTGATGTGGTCAATCCGAAGGATTCATACACTTCTTTACAAATATATGTTTTTGGAGAACCAGTATTTACAATAAAATGTACATTCTTTCTTTTTTGTTTGATTTGAACGGGTAAAGAGACAATGATTCTGAAATAAGGTCCAAAAAAGATTCCTTTCGCTTCTTTGAATTCTGAGGGGGAGGAATCTGATAGATATTGGATTTTAAGCCGTTTAGAGATTTGTTCGTGTAAATCTTTGGAATGAATGTCTACCAACAAATGGTCAAACCCATTTAAAATATCAATCATCTTTGTTTATGAGGAATATACTGTAAGTAATACTGGGAACAAGGCTAAATACAGAAAAAAAATCGTGAGAATTTGTATCATTGTTACATGAAAATTACATGTAAATCACATGAAAACCACATGCGTAGAATTTATTAATAATCAATTTATTTTTGGAATTTTGGCCTAAATTTGGCCATTTGTATTATAATCGAAAAGATTGTAATAAGTTAAATAAGGGATTTTTTTTCATAAACATAAAAACATTAATAATAGATGTGCATTAAAAAAAATCATAATACAAAAGTCATGTGATCCTTAAGTCTGAATTTTATTCGATTTCAGATCTTATAAAAAACCCTGCGTAGAGGTTTGTCTTAAAACAATATTACTAATTAAAAAAAAAAATTATGTATATATAATTTTATAAAAAGTTTTTTCGCCATCTGACCTCTATATAATATATATCAGATATATCATACGAATTGTATTACATATTTGATCTTCAAATTCTTCAAATACTTCAAATACAATATTTTTTTGAATTTTTAACTATTTATTATACTAGTTGTACAAATTATAGAATTTTTACAGTGAGCATTCTCATATTTGCAAAAAATTCTGAAAAGTATGAAGTGTAAGAGTTGGTTTATTATGACTGTAAGTATAATATAATGTTAAAATTTATATTACATTAATATATAATGATCAGCATAATTTGGTAATAGAAAAGTATCCGTATACTTTTGGCCGCCCTCTGTATTTGAATACATATTTGAAAATTATGGTTAGTTCATTAACATTTTCGAACTAATATTTTTTATATGACTTTTCCTGATCCCTATATCTGATATGATTGGCTTAGTATTTTGTTACATATTATCTATGCAAGAATAATAATAATGAGAAGAGTATCACTGCTTCATGATTCACCATGGAGCGTAAATTGAACATGGAATAACAGATAATGATTCTGGAGAATTAATTATTCACAGTATCGTATTAATTACTCGATTTACAGCTTTGCTAAATATGGATGTGAATAAATTTTTTGATACACTAAATTTCAACATGTCTACTTTAATTTTTAATATGGTGCATTTTCGTTAGTGTTAACGAGGAGGACAGGAATTTATTTACGATCGAGTTGAAATCAAAAGAGAAGTATTATGATATTCTACAACTTTAAAATGTAATTCGGTCAATATTAACCCAATCGATATGTATTTACCATCATTTGAATCGTCTCGATGAGATGAATACAATGAGATAAAGATCGTGATCCAAAAAAATATCATAGAAAACGTCTAAGTTTTTTAAAGCGTAATTGTACACTGAATATTGATCATGCAAAGACGGTTTTATTATCATTCGAATCCTCTCAATGAGACGAATACAATGAATATAAAATCATGAAATTTCAATCACTAGATAGTAGAGACCGAAATATCTTTAAATGTCCTCATAACATTGGCCGCCCTCTGTAGTATTCTCGTAAATGGTATAATACGCAATATATATTACGAAATCATAACTTTAAAATTTAAAGGTGCCGATTGGTAATAGATTATGAGTAACGAGTTCGTAACAATTTATAGCAAGTCAAATCACTATATGTCTGGTAGTTTAAAGTATTTCCAGTATCACCGGTTTTTACGCGACCTCCTGATAATTCAAAAAAGCTTTGGATTTCAAAAGCCACTACAATCAAAATCTCCACCAGTTCTAAAGATATATACATATATTGCTTGTCAATTATGCAAGGATTTTTATTCTTCTCAATTTTTAAAGCTAATCTCTGAATCAAACATTCAATCCAAGTCTAAGAGGAGGAGGAGGAATTCTTTTAGTGATAGTTTAAATTCAAATAAGAACTTGTTTTCTACTTCGAGTCATGATCAAAATTTCTGCTTTAAATATTTCAAGTTTAAGATTTTAGGTCGTGGAAGTGGAAAGACACTTTTATGTGAATATCATGAAGATACAATAGCTTTAAACTGATCTATCCAACCATTTTGAAAGAAATGCAAAAAGGAGTTAAAATTTATAAAATTCTCTCCGACATTCAAGGGGAATATATACAAAATTAGCATAATGTTATGGTTACTATGAAGATATGATGTATTATGTTATTGGTACAACTCTGATTTAGGTAAATTGGATTAATAATAGAACAACAAAGGGGTCTTTGTGCATTAAAAGCAATTCATGATAAAGGTGTACTTCATTCTGATATTCGTGAAGAAAATATTTTGCTTGCCGGTGATGATGTATATATTATTGACTTTGGAATTGCTAGTTATGATGCCGAAATAAATACAAAGAAGAGGGAAAAAATTGGACAATTTGTTTTTAAATAACCAAATATTCCTTTCAACGTGATAAAACGTGTGTTGTGCTATACTTACAGTATGCGAGTGTAATATGGATGAGTGATGTGTATGCATCGGAAAAATGTGATTGCCGATTACCGTATTATACTATAGTGCATATAATGCGATGTATAAAATCTCTTCACTTCGTGACTTAGCATATAATCCAGCTGTGAGATGAAAGTGTGGGGAACGAAGAGGATGCTTAATAAGTCACATTAAACTGCAGACATAAATAAAGATGATTAAACTACAGACATGAATAACAGTATTACCGAACATAAATGAAAAGTACGTAATCTTTGACTAAAATTACGATTAAGTAGATTAAGTAATGATAGAAAAAAAAAATTATATATTTTATATTATGAGTAATGATTTTGCAGAGGTGGATCATGCTTATTTTATTCACTTACTGAAACCTGTTTAATCCCTCATCTGAATCTAGTTTGTAATCAGAATCCCTTTGATAAAGTATACTGTATACGTACAAGTCTGAACGAGCCAACCTAGTACCAATAAAGTGCAAAGAATAGAGACAAACTTTTTTTTGCAAATCCAAAAAGAAACCGCAGAACAAAATAAAGATTTACTTTGTATTAAAACGCTTATCTTTGCGTCATAGTACAGAATGCAAGGAAAATCATATGAATCATAAAGTATACTGAGCCAATAAAAGAGTGATAATTGTTCCATACATTATACATGCAAAAAGGAATCAAAGATGATTCCAAAACTGGTTTTATTTTTTCCCTGCATGAACTGATGAACACCATCTTTACCACATGTCAGATAATCATTTCACAATTTCACATGTACCTTCAAAGTTTTTTTAGTTTCTTTCATGATAAAGACGTTCTATTAAGTAGTAAGTATTGGAACTTTTAATACTTTCAATGCTATTTCCTTAATATATTTATTATCTATGTTTATTGAAATGTTACGTCATTACGTCGTTATGGATATCAAAGATATCATTATCTACTGATCTTTGATTGAAAGCAATATATTAGGTACGGCCGTACGGGACACAGAATATTTCCTTTTATACATGCATACTCATGTGTTTCATAGTCATGCATATAATTCATAGTTAGCTTGTGCGTCTCCGCAAGATTTGCAGAGAAGCAGCAGGCAAAAATTTTATCCGGATCTTATCTTTTAAAAGCGAAACTACGAGATAAATGAAACGGAAATTTGAATCAAAAAACTATACAATATGATAATAGAAATAAGCTTAATTTGAATACATTTTTTTTATATTTTCATATAAACTCAAAGATACCAATGATACAGGTCAAGATTACGCAGTAATGTGTCACAATAATATTTTTTTTTTTTATTCGAAAGTTAGGTCTGGAATTTTCGAATCTGATCATCCTAATCATGCGTATTTAAGATACCAGCGATAGGGAATTTAGACTCGTTTTAGTAGTGTTTAGTTTATGGATTAGAAATACGACAGAATTACGCATAATCTTTTGAAACTTTTTTTATGCAGTTCTATTGTAAATCGGCGTTTATTTTTCTACTTTTATAGTTTGAAATAAAATCATCACATAATCGTACTATTTTTTTTTTCAAACTTTCTCTATGAAAAATATAATTTTTTTTTTTTTATCTTTGTGTAAAATTTGCATTGTCTCTTTTTTTGAACTAGTTTTTTTTTAAAAAAAAAATTGAATGACTTAAAAAGTTTGTGAAAGCGATAAAAAAATATCTTTTTATAATATCCTTTTCTTTTTTGTTAATATCTTCTTTTTTTTTTTAAAAAAAAAAAAAAAAAAAATATTTTTTTTTTTATTTCGGGAAACTCCTTTCAAATATTCCATCATAAACGAAATAATAATAACTAAAATGGCAATAAAAAGTGAGATTCATTTTTATGGAGATGGAGATTGTGAATTAGTTGCAGAAAATTTATTATTTCGGGTTCACAAAAATATTTTGGTTCTTTCCTCTGCATTTTTCAATGGAATGTTTTCAGCCGCTCAACCATCTAGAGATGAATTAATAACTATATCACAAACAGGTAGAACAGTCGCACGTATAGAATTACGTGATGCAGCAAACGATATAGAAAAATTACTTTCATTTCTTTATCCAAATACGTTTTTTGAAATAAGTTGGGAAGATGTGGAAAATCTTTTACGTTTAGCAGATAAATATATTGTTGAAACTTTAACTTCAGCTTGTGTAGCATTTTTAAAAAGATCTTATCAAGATGAACCTTTAAGATCTTTAAAATTGGCTGAAACTTATTCTATTGCAACTGTATATAAAGAATCTTCAAAATTAGTTTTAGATGGTTTTGAACATTTCTTTTATGATTCAAATAATCTTGATAAATTATCAAAACAAACTCAAAAGAAATTAAAAGTTTCAAGACAACAATATGTTGAAGGTTTAAATAAAATATTTTGCGTTACCGTTGATAGAAGATTTCCTCCTTTAGCTACTGATCATTTAAGAACAAAATTTGAAGAATGTGTTAAAGATATTTGTACTTTTCCTTATCAATCTCCAAGTTATAGTTGGATGAAATTACATCAAGTCGATTGTACTCGTCATTTTGAATGTAGAGAAGAATTAAGAAGATTAAAAACTTTTATTCATGAAAAAATTATTGCTATATTTGGTTGTAAATATGAACCTTTGGCTTGGGCTCGTTCTACTTTTGATACTACTGAACCTTGTTATCCTTTCATTGAATTACGTGATGATTATGATTATTAAATATGACGAAGGTTAAACGAATGGGGAAGTGGGGTGAAATGTTATGATGATATTATGTATCAATATCAATATACTATACTGTATTTATTATTATTATATATATATACTTACTATTTTTTTCTTGGTAGATTTTTATTGTTTATAATTTATATGTAAATTTTTCATTAAAAGGAAAATAAATTTTAATTGATTTAATATAATTTGTAAATATTTTATTTATATATATATACCTCTGCGAAAATAACACGTGCTTGTTACTCTGTAAATAATTCTAAATTTTGATTTATTAAAATACAGTTAATGCACTCTTTCAGCCAATCTGTCACGTTTATATCATTTACTTTTCCTTTTTCTTTTACATTTAGATTCAAATAATTTGTCAAACTTGTCAAAATTTTTTGTCACATGTATTATCATACGAACATTCCCAAAAAAAACGTTTTGTTTCACTCTTCATACTACGAAAAGGTTTTGGTACCACCAGTAGTTTTTTTTTTTTTTAATAGGCGGGATAAATCTTTTCTTTTGTTCATAACCTCTTGAAATTTTTAACAATGAATAAAATGAAACCTTCGCAAGCTGTTCTTCTTAATGCTGATTTATTACCTATTATATTATCTGAATTTGAAGAGAATCAAGATGAAATGTTTCTTTATCTTTTCGTTAGTAAAACGTGGGCAGCGGTATTTAATAATAAATCCTTATTTTATTTTATTTATTAAAATTAATTATTTTTTTTTTTTTGTTTAAAAAAAAATATATTTTAAATGTCTTCTTTTTATTTTTTCTTTATTTAAAAAATTTCAGACTCTTGTAAGATTGTTATGGAAATCACCAATCTGGAATTCACCTCGTTCGTATAAATCATTTTTACGGACATTAAAAAGATCTAATGTTACTTTTGCATACGGTAAACTTATACGTAGACTTGTATTTGAACCGATAAAAAATAGAGAACAACCATCATTTGCAAATGACGATCTAAAACTTTTTTCAACAAAGTCTGATAGATTAACTCATTTAACTTTTGGTCAGACAGATAATTTTTTTTCTGCTGAAGCTGTATCTGAACTTGTTAAAAACAATCCAAATTTATTGGGTTTTGCTGCTACAAAACCATGTTATAATATTGAATGGTTAAATATAGCTCTTTCACCTGTAATTAATGGACATTGTTTGAAATTATCTCAACTTGAAATACAAAATATGCGTCACTTTTTGATCTTTTTGGATTATTGGCCAAATGGTGATTATTCTGATGATGCTATAGGTCAAACGCGTAACTTAATTAAAGAAATTGGATTTAAATGTCCTATCTTTGCATTAGACATTAATGTTCATATAGATGATGAAATGGCTGATATGATAACACAAACATTTAAGAATTTAAAAATTCTTCATTGTGAAACAGTTTCTTGTTCAGCATTAAAAATTCTTTTACCTTATTGTAAGAAATTAAAATGGTTATCTATAGCTTTTTCATCTGAAAATCCTAATGAAGATATTCAACAAGATATTGGTTCTCAATTTCCAAGTTTAGATGCTTTAAATTTATTTTTACCTCCACATGATTGGTCACCTTTTACAAAATCTTTAGCTCCAAATCAAACAAATCTTCGTCGTATCAATTTATTTGGTTGTGATTCAGTTACTGATGAAGCTTTTTTACCTATTGCAAAGAATTGTTTGAGATTAGAATTTGTTGGTTTAATTTGTTGTCAACTTTTAACTGATGCATCTATTGCCGTTTTGGCGCGTAATGTTGGTAAAAATCTTAAGAATATTAATATTTGCAGAATTCCAAAATTAACTGATGTTAGTATAATTGAAATTGCTAATAGTTGTCATAATTTAGAAAAATTTGTATTAGAAAGTTGTAAAAAGGTGACATCACGTTCTCTAACATTACTAGTACGTAAATGTAAATCTCTTACAGAGTTAAGTGGTGATTATCCTCGTATAATTGCAGCAAAGATCGTTTCAACATTAGCAGTACAAGGTAATACAAAACTTCAAGTATTACAGATTCATAGTAGACATGATCCTGATTCAAACATTATAGAAGGAAAGAAATATCGAAGGTTTGATTTGGGTTTATTAGAAAAACTTGCAGAGAAATGTCCAAAATTGAGAGAATTGGAACTTAAATGTTATATTACCGGTTTATATCCAAATGTAAGTTTAAAAAATTTGTTTTTTGCATCTTTTTATTTTCAAATATATATATTTTTAATATATATTTGATTTTATTTTTTTATAGTTATTGATAAATGCATTATATAAGTTACGTAATTTAGAGAAATTATTCATGGAACCTAGACAAAATCAAAAATTAAACCGTGAACATATAATGAGATTAGAAAATCACCCTCGATTAAAAGAGGTTAGATTTGATGGAGGTTGTAGCGAAGATGCTATTTCATATATAAAAGAACGTAGCAAAAATAAAAAAGGAATGTTTATACATGTAAAACCAGTATATTAGGTATCTTTTTTTTTTTTTT